CGGTGCGATGCCTCTGTTTTGTTTCGTGTGTGGTTTTGTGTGTATATAAAAAAACTTGAGTTGTGTGTGTGTGTGTGTGTGTGCGTCTTGTTTTGTTTTGCTGGGGTTCTTCTTTAAGGTCACACAAGAGAAGAGCTATCATGCCAAGCAAGCAAACCTCCAATTTGGAAGATCGAAACGAAGAGAGATCACACCCAGAGTCACCATCCGGGCTTCTGTGAAAGCCTGCTTTGTTTCGCCTTGGCTCTCTGGAAAAGGAGAGAGGGGTAAAGAACAAAAGTTAGAAAAGTCCTCCAGGGAGATTGCTGGTTTACTGTTTGTACCCTTTCCATAGCTGGAAGGCAATGGAGGGAAGGCTATGGAGGGAAGGTGGGCTTTCCAAAAACAAAACATATGTGTGTGGAAAAAAAGGTGGTGGGCTTCAATCTATGTGTTTAGTCTGAGAGGGGGAGGGAGGGGAGGGACACTTTCAACAGCCTCCCCTCCCCTGCTACTGCACCCAAGCATGCATTTTGCAATTACAAACAACTTTGCAACAGAGGCAAGAAGCGGGAAACAGGAGTACATTCAGTCAAGTACAATCAATGGATTTTTGCAAATCCCCTGCCCTGTACCATGTTGTAATGTCAAGAATGCCATGCCATGCCCTCCCCCTCTGTCACAAGGGTGGCACACACACACATACACAAAGACACCTGTCTGCACCCTAGGCAGACTTTTTGTAGCCGATTTCAAAACACAGGTTCAACATGTTCAATTGGAGGGAAGGAAAGGTGGTACAGAAAAGCAGTCCTCCCATTGCTTAGTTGACAAGCTTTGGCTTAAAATGATAGAAATCTTCTGAGCGAGAGCTGTAGCAAGAGCAGGAGCAAGTGCACTTTGTAGCAGCCGGCCTTGATTCTTGAGAAAACACCTCGGCCTCGTTCGTCTCAACCCCAAATCCCACACAAAAAACTGTTAATTCTCGGGAAAACGACCGACTCGCCTGCTCCGGCTCCGCGGTTTCAACCAAGAAGCACTCATGCTCCTCTCAAATACTTAGCCCATGCCATTCATTTCTCCATTTCATCATGGCCTATTGCCCAGAATAATCTATTATACAGCATCAATCACAGGAAAACTTGTCTACAAGTTCGTTGATAACAAGTAAAGCGCCACCTTAAAGAAAGACAAAGAAATATTGACTCCGAGCTTGTTAATGAGAAGCGATTAACTAGTAGATTAATAAAGATTAACTCTCATTTTTCTCATTTTTCTTCTTTTCTTTTTCTTTTTTGAAGCATTCGTTCGTTCCCATTAGAAAAATATTTAAGAGTTAGTCTGGCCTGCCAAGCCTCTACCAATCACCAGACCAGATCTATTCAAAGCCCAAAGCAATCCAAAGCACACCCTCCCTGCCGCACTGAACTGCAACAAAGAGCACAGCCTGCTGCTTCCTCCTGTTGACTGTCCCAAGAGATGAAAGCCTCCTTTCCTCTCACTCTCACTCTCTTTCTCACTCTCTCTC